AATTTGGCTGCAGTTTATAAGGTATTTGAGTAGTGTATCCATTTTATTGTAATTTTTTAATATTCTTATATAAGTTTAGTTACAAAATTTCTACATTTTTTCATTTTTTTCACCATTTTTAGCCATATGGTGGTGTGAGCAGTTTCTAGTACCTTCTTCAAATACAATTTCATTTTTATACTTGTATTTAGTCCATTTTGTAACATCTTGCAGCAAAAACATTATTATACACTTTAGCATAATTTATGATTTCTCAGAAATTTTATAAGATTTTGTATTTTTTTAAAAGCAGACATCTTGGAATGTGTATTTTTCTATCATGATGTCTAATCAGCTTCAGGAAGTACTTTTATTTTTTTATCTATCTGATTATATGTGTTTCTAAACTAAAAGTGTTACAATTTCAGTGTGTGATTGTAATTTGAGAAATATGATAATCTATTTCTAATTTATGCATGATTAATTAGCCAATAGCAAAATTTAAGTTTTCAATTGGTCATCAAATGCATATTTTTATTCTTGTTGTTGAATGAAAGTATTAGTAATCCATGGAAACAAAACAATTTTCCTGGCATCATTTAACATAAAAAAAACTAAATCTCTAAATTTGAATTACACTTATGATTTTTGTGTAAGATGTAATCATAAAATCTGTATTATTATTTCGCATTCTACTCTAATAAAGGTAATGCTTTTTTTAGTAGCTTCAATCAATCATCTGGAACAGTGGTTTTCAGAGTGCCATGAACTACTACTAGAAGTGCCATAAAATCATTTTGATACTGATTTTCTCATCTATTATTATTTGTAAATATTTTTTATATATAAAAAAATTTTTATGTATTCAATGCTATATATATATATATAAATATCTGATGTAAGAGTAACTTGTCAATGTGCCATCAAAATATGGTACAGTAGAGTTTCGAAAATTCGGCCTAATGTGGACTGAAGGTGGCCGAGTTTGGAAAACGCAGGGTTATCGGAAATGGGGTTAAAAAAGAATAAGTAAGAGTGTTTACTTAGAAAATACTGTACTGTACTTTTATGTATTGTTTGCTTGAAAATACAACAAAAAATTAACTGCCCAAATACCCTTAAACAAAGGAAAAGTACATACTTAATGAAAACATAGAGCTTTTACTACATGAAAATGAAAATTAATGAATACACAGTGTACAGTAATTTACCTGAAAGACAAACATCAGAAAAATACTTTGAGCCATAAAGCTGTCTATAATGAAAATTAACTAGGGATGTTTTTTCGCCGTGCCAGGGTGTAGCCGAGTTATTCGGACTGTTGGGTTATCGACTGCCGAGTTTACGGGACTCTACTGAATTATTAACTGTACTACTAAGTCAACAAAACCAAAAACAATTGATCCAGAAACTAAAAATTGTTTATTTTAAAATTCACAAATTAAAGTGCTAATTTATATTTTCTTTTGATATATTTTATCTAATATATTAATTATATGATTTTACATTATATTATGAAATATAAAAAAGTGATATAAACCTAGCTATTGATTTACAAAGGTTAGTTGGTTTGGTGAGTTTTGCATAAATCAAAATAATTTAAGCCAAAAACTAAAATATATGTTGGAAATAGGTTCCAAGACTCCATATTTTTCCATATAAACATTAATCTCTTAATCAAAGATTAGGTAATTGTAATATTGCATATACAATATTACATTTTATTTTAATTTTTTTTATGAAAAAGTAAAAGGTATTTTTGAATTTGAAATATAAAACACACCTACTTACTGTATGATTATTGATAAAAACATCATCTTCACATTTTGATCAAACTACCGGTCTCTCAGTTCCTTTCAAAATGACACCATTATATTCTACATAAGAATATTCTACATAATCCTCCTGAAATATTTATCAAAAACATTAATATTTAGTAAATTATGTACAGTTTTTATATAAAAAATTAATCATCAATAATTTATATATAATTTTAATACTTGATTTCTTTATACTCTAAACGTGTTTTCCTGCTGACATACCAATAAAAATATAGCCACAGTAACACTAAATAAATTTGAACAAACAGAAACACAATCCAGAAAAGATTAAGCAACAATAATATTATCATCAACATTTCAGAGAAAAACAATGTGGTAAAACAATGTGGTTTATAAGTGTGTGGTTTATAAGTGGTTTAACAATGTGGTTCTCAGATTTCTGAAGATTTAATTTGTGATGTGAGAGTTTAAATATTTGGTCCATTTTTCATGAAACTTGATTTCCTTTTGATATTTGACTGTGAATATAATAGATGCTGTAGTACAATGGTGTTAACATTAGCCTACCATTGTCCTGTTTATCACAAAGTAGTAAATAAATTAATTATAGTAAGAAAAAGATATATAAAAAAATAGAATAAATATGAGAATAAAAAAATCTATTTTGAAGTAGAAAAAAATGAATTTTATTTAAATTCTTATAACAAAAATAAAAACAAATGCAATCAGATATCAACTTGCTAAGAAAACAATACTCAGATGGTACAGAACAGCACAATTTCATTAGTCAGGTAGAGAGAAATTGATGTTTTTCAACAGACAATAGTTGTTGACTTCTGCCTGCATAAGAACATGATTCAAGACATCTGACTTTTTTCTAAAATAACCAATTCTTAAGGTTCAAATTCTTTTGCTTTGTATGTTTAAAAATAATTCTGTTAGAACTAAGTAAATTTTTTCTCCCTATATTTACTGTTGTATTACCTAACATATTAGTATTAATTCAACTTTAACAAAAATTTGCTAATTATAAACTAAATATTGTAAATTTTGTAGACATTTAAATTTTTCATTGTTAACAAGTTTGTTATGTCAAATTTTGAAACTTTATATATCTAAAGTTAGATATAAGGTTGAGATTTGCAACCTTAAAGTATCAGGTCAGTCCATAAGTTCGTGAGCATTTTTATCTTTTGGTGCTGGTTTTGGCTGCTTGTCGCGATCTGTCCATTGTTTTTTTCTTGTCACATTATTATAGAGGATCCATTTTCCGTCTCCAGTAACCAGCCGATCAAGAAAAGGTTCTAAAGTAATGCGGGATAAAAAAGACGTGCAAATGTTTACACGTTGTTGTTGGTTAGCTATTGATAGTTCACGTGGTATCCATTTTCCTAGCTTTGAAACTTTTCCGATTTGTTGTAGATGTCTATGAACAGTTCCATGGGATGATTTTAAATGTTTTGCAATTTCATCAACTGTTAAAGATGGTTCTGCTTCAACTAGTGCAGAGAGAGCATTATCATCAAAGTCAATGGGTCTTCCGGTACGAGCCTTATCCTCCACACTAAAAGCATTATTTCTAAATCTTTCAAACCACTTCTGCGCAGTCCTTACACTAATTACAGTTTGATTATGAACAGTATTTAATTTTTTGGCTGCATTTGTAGCATTCTCACCACTTAAAAATAAAAAGTATAAAACATGTCTCTTATATTCGTCTGTTACTTCCATTTTAACGAAAATAAACAACTGAAATGTTCCCAATTCTGAACAGTATTATATGAATGAGATCCAGTTTAACACTTCAGTGTAAAAAGTATCACATCAGACTGACAATTTTAACAGCAAAACATGATTTTTCTCAAGGTCATAAAATACTCATGAACTTATGGACTGACCTGATACTATTGCCGAAATGTGAAGTAATAATAAAATCAAATTATTAAACCAATCCAATGGTTCTTCATATTTACTCAGCTTATATTATAAGAATTGCATACAAACATTTTATTTTTGAAGTTTAGGGAAAGCTTAGTAGTTCTGGGAAAAATGCCAATGTTGCATTAGAATATTATATCTACATTTTTGTGTGTTTATCATTATTGTGTCAGTGCAAATTATAATTTTTTATATCATCAGTAGACTTAAAATATATTTTGTGGTAATACAAAAATAATATTAAGATAATTATCGTTTGTGCAAAGATAAGTTTCTTTGGAGGAACTTGCAAATGTTCTCCTCCACCATATTTATCCAGAATATTATCTTTCATACTATGTTTAAATTCCTCCTTTTTAACTTGGAACTCTTTATACAAAAGTTCAGCTTTTGTAGGTTCAGACTGGAGGTGGACATCCATGCCTTTTTCATAAGCTTGCCAAGCAAACACTAGAAAAATTACAAATGTTTATAAATTAAACTTCAGAGCTTTTCTTGTAATTAATAAAAAACTTGTCAGAAATTCTTGTGTCAATACATGTTTTAAAATTAAGTATCAATCTTAAATAATTTAAATATTTAAATGATCCTTGCAATAGCATTAATAATTAATTATATAGTACTCTACATATTTATATATCTACAAGATTTTTTAATTTGACTGTACAGAATATAAATTAATTAAATCTAAAGATAATTGCCTTTTATTAAATTTTACCATTATTATTGCTAAATATAACTGAAAATACTGGTAGTGGCCTAAAGAAAAAGAAAAGAATTGGCTTATTTGCAGTCTTAATCATTTTATTTTATTGTTCTCTATTCTTGATAAATGATTATAAAATCACTTTTCGAAAACTGAAAATTCTGTTTTGTGATAAATAAAATTAATATTTTTAACAAATGATTTTTTGGATTTCATTACAGATTTATACAACAAACAGGCTGTTACAAAAAGTTATACCAAGTGATGGGGTAAACTTGTATTTACCATGTGATATTTAAACAATTTATAATGTTATATTTTTAAATTTTAAACTTCACGGCTTAGAAATTTTTGTAACTTTTATATGTAACATGAAACAGTTGATTTTTAACATTTATCTGATAACATGCCTCACTCTATCACTGATTTAGCTACAGTTGCCTTCCTTTCTTCTGCAACCTTGGACAAACTAAAAAGTTAGATTTGGTTATTTACTAACACACTAGTCTTTCCTATATATGTGTTATATGTAAAAATAACTTAAAAAATTATGGTAAGTAACATCCCCCCACACACCCTAATAAAACAAATATAGATAATAACTATACATAACTTTATGAACCCTATTACAGCAACTAGTATAATGTTATGAGCCTATGAAACTAATTAATACAAACTAACAACATATTCTGAACCTCAGTACTCTCTGAGAAGGAAAAGGTATCCAACTTAATAAAAAAAATAAAATAAAATCTATTCACTTTAACATGTCCAGCATATGCTGTATAACATACCCAAAATGTGCTATGATGGAAAAACTAACCCTTTAATGATCTAAGGTGTGTAATTAGCATAAAATTATGGAGTGAAACCATAAATTTTTTTACAGTTGACACCAAATTATCATACTGGTTGGAGTGCATTATGAGTGAAAAGCAAACTTGAAATGTAAGCCTTTCATGATCCTTTGAAATGAAAAACATTTTAATGCAAACTTTCTGTAAAAAAATTAGTTTTATTTAATTTCATTGAAGTTGCAAAATCCTCAAATATTCTGGAGATAAAAATAGGTTTACTCTAAACACAAATGATATATGTCTGGTGTCTACATTTTGATACAAAAACTGAAGGTAATAAACTGTATTGATGGCCTCAGTTTGGATTGTTTTCCAGCTTTCTTCCTCACTCCACAGTTTCCCTGGAGAGCTGCAGAGTACTTTGAGAGGTTTAGCCCAGAAAAGCTCCATTATGAATCTGAAAAACAGACAAAAACAAATACGAGTATTGGCTGCATTGGATAGAACTGAGCAGCATTTGGCAAAGATGCTCTTTTACTATTACTCTGTTACACAGTTACAAAATCAAACAATGTGTAAAATGAAACATTAGTCCTCTGTAAGCATTCCATTTTATGCATCATTCAATTTTGTATCTTACCTGAAGATGGTCATCAAAAATAATCAAAAAAGTTGGTAATTAAAAGGTTTTGCTGTATACAGAGATTGTTTGTAGTGTCTAAATATCTACTGTTGCAGTTTCTAGTTGTTACCATGAAGTTTGTGTATTTGTTACAAATAATAATATGTATAAATACACAGTGTTTTTTGTTCACTATTTCTGAATACAGATCTCAGAATATTATTTTTCAGTAAATACTGTATTCACATATCCAGATAGAAGGAACAATTTTTCTTGGGTGTAAAAAAAGTGGGTGTGTGTTTTGCAAAAGATGTACAGGAATATAATTTTTGAATGTAGTTATTCTGTACCTAAAGCAAAAGAAAAACAAAGTAGGTCCTTATCAATGTCATATTTTGTTTTCCTATGAATTACAAATATTTGAATAAGCCATGTATTATTAAATAAACTGTAAATGTAACTCAGTGATTAAATAAACAAAAATTATGAAATTAATTCTGTAATTAATCTGTCTTTGTTTTTCAATTCAGATTGTATTTTATACAAATAGAAATGAATATGACTTATTTTTGCTTGAAATTAAACTTTAATTCACTTAAACTAAAAGAGAGAGAGGGAGAGAGAATTTACCCTGTGTTCGAGAATGTTTTTCCGTATCTCCGGTAACTCTAACAAAATTATCTCCAGCATACTGTAACCTAAAAATAAAAAAATTAAACATTATTTTTAAATACTATCATCATGTTTTCCTTAAAATATTGCATTTTTAGACTAAATTTTAAAAAAACTATAATTTCTTTAAAAATTAATATTTATATATTAAAAATATCTTGTAGAATGTAATCGTACAACGCTAAGAAAAATGTTTCATCCCATTAACCAAGAGCGACAGCCAATCATTTAGAATTATACTATCTTAAATACTTAATTTAAAAATTGAGCATTTATTTTAAGCCCATTATTACATCATAAGCTTTCGTTACTACTCTTTTTATCAGCAGGCAATTTTATATTTGTATGAATGAAAAAATCCTATCATTATTATGCGTATTTCAAGTAGTGCAGAGACTTTCACAATATTGTTAAAATAACCACAAATTTTTCAATTTTAAATTTTGAACAAATTCTGCATGATGATAGAAATCAATAAACCATACTTCATTAGTGTCTAAAATAGGTCATGATTGATCTGTTTCAGATGTCTATGAACACTGTTTTAGAATATTTACAAGCAGATTTTAAAACAGAATTTCATCTTTTGTAGTAATTTTTAATCTCTTTCATTTACTATCATCAAGACACTTACCTCAGAGGATTAACATTAATATATTTATCACTCAGATTTACTCTGATTATCAAATACTACATAATATTTGATTTTTCTCTTTTATAACTAATGGAAGAAAAAAGTGAATGATCTGTAAACATTCTATCTTGATTGCAACTGATGCCAACTTTTATTTTATAGTACAGGACCAAATATCTGAAATTACCAAAAAATTGGCTATTTTTGAAAGTGGCCAGTTTTGATTTTGGCAGACTGTAGTATAATGTAACTCACAACACATAACCTCTTTGTTTTTTGGTTTCCCTGGCATACACATCACATGATATCGTAACAATTTTAAGTGAATTAATGAGATGTTAATACAGACGTTAACTAAAATTATGTTGTGTTCAAAGCTTCTTGTTGTACTTCTTAAATCTCACAACTTGACAAATGTAGGACTTATCATACAGGATATGTGTTTAGAAGAACATGGCAAAATTAATCACTTTGAATTGTTGCTTTTGTATGCAGTTTGGTCTAAACCCCTCTTGACAATTTTTGGAAAAAACTGGTCCTGAGTTTAACTTCTTTAAAAAACTTTTCCCCATGACTTTACTCAGAACCAGTTTTCTAAAGAATTGTAAGAGATGAAGAGAGGTTTAGACCTGAAATAACAATTCAAAGTGATTAATTTTGTTTCCCTAAATAAAATGTCATTTTATTTAAAGGAGCATTCATTTTATTTATGCCNGAGTTTAACTTCTTTAAAAAACTTTTCCCCATGACTTTACTCAGAACCAGTTTTCTAAAGAATTGTAAGAGATGAAGAGAGGTTTAGACCTGAAATAACAATTCAAAGTGATTAATTTTGTTTCCCTAAATAAAATGTCATTTTATTTAAAGGAGCATTCATTTTATTTATGCCTAATCAAACCATAATAAAACATTATGTATTTGATAATAATGCCTGATGAGTGAGATCAGAATTTTCTTTATGCATCGATATAAATAAATCAAACCACTCACACTTCGTTGTATAAATGCTGATTTTGATATTTATCTGTATTTATCCATGTTATGCCACCTCATTATATTATGCAGAAATTTTTCTTTCACTTGAATTCTGAATCTGACAGGAACAGAATTGGAGAAAGCCGAACAACAGTACTTTATGGCCTCACAAACATCTGAATCCAAGAAAAAGTATGACTCATCATCCATGGTAAGTTTTAATCCGTTACTGGATGGAAGCAATAGTTTGTAAATTTTATAATAATTATGTTTTGCCCAAATTGCTTGATTGATTTTGTATTTTGAAGCTGATTTTTTGTTATAATCAGTCAATCAGAAGTCTTTCTGCTTTATTTCTTACACTATTGATTTTGTAAATATCAGTTCTAGAGCAGCCTGCAGAGAAAAATGTCTGGCTTCTTTGCAAACTTCATCTAAACCTTCCTTTCATTCTTTTCATTTATTTCTTCAGACTTCCTTTCCAAAATTTTGGTCTATATCAATGTTTTTGGTTTTTAAAATATTTGACAATGGCCATTTTGTTTCTGTTGACATGATGTAAAGTACTATGTTATTTTTCCGCCCTCTACGATTATCCACACGACTGTGTGCCGGAAATAGCCGTTACCTAACGGGTACTTTACGCGGATTCGCGTTAGTGTGCCAGGCCTGGACTTTTAGCGTGCACCGAATTAAATAATGACAAAGTTAGTCAAAAAACAATCCAATATTTAATAAAGTTCTAGTAATAAACTATATACAAGACTTAGTAAAAATCAAACAATAATTTATTCGATGTAAATCAATAAGAATCAACCCAACTAAACTCAAATCAATCTATTTTCTAACTTAATTCTATTCCCCTTTGGAATTCGACAAAATCAAAAGACTTAACTTATGAACAATANATACCAAATCAAATATTTAATTAAAGTTCTAGTAATAAACTATATACAAGACTTAGTAAAAATCAAACAATAATTTATTCGATGTAAATCAATAAGAATCAACCCGACAAAACTCAAATCAATCTATTTTCTAAATTAATTCTATTCCCCTTTGGAATTCGACAAAATTCAAAGACTTAACTTATGAACAATAATTCTTATAAATTAAAGATCCTAAACGTCACCTCAATATACTTGGAACCTATTTTCTCAACTCTCAAGACTTTCTCTAATCGTCGATCCACAAATCGAATAACTTCAAAATCGCCTTGGAACTATTTGATCCTATCGGACACCTCTCTCGTTCACTGCTACGAAGCTCACCAACGCTCATTGCTAACAGGAGTTCACCTCAACCCTCTTCACTTGAGATTCGGTCTTTATACTGTGAGGTGACATCACAACTCTGAATGCAATCACTCCCCTCATTTACATACTTATTGGCTAACAATAAACTTTTTCTATTTGTCTGGCAGTAGCCTATTTTCCGACAATACTCGCTAACCTTTTACATTATTCTTTTTGACAATTTTCGGGATGTTTTTATTTTTTAAGGTTTAGCGAGCTCCTAAGTTATGCTTGTGGGGTCTCTCCCCCCCTATTTCTTGGTGCGGACTTACTTTCTTTCCGCTCGGGAGCGCAAGTGTGCGCGAGTTTTTTTCTACGGCGCTTTTCTCTCGTTGGTGAGTTGGTTTTTCTTCTATTTTTAAGTTTCTAAGGTGAATGGTGAGGAAACCTTTGTCCTAACAAAACATAAGCCCCAAACAAAAATACACTGCTGGCCATTAAAATTGCAACACCAAGAAGGAAAAAAAAAATATTTATTGTACATAAACAGTATGGCATAAATACAAAATGATTAAATTTGCAAGCAGTTTCGGGGTTTACAGGGGTGCAAAATTAGTAGACACAGTTGCCATTCCCGGCGGCTAAAACGACCATTATCCGTTTAAGCATGGAGTCGAACTGGGCTTGGATGACAGAAACGGGCAACTCATTCCATGCCGCTTCAAGTCTATGCCATGCTTCATCAACTGTATTAGTAGGAGAGGGGTGGCGGTCCAGTCTCTCAGCAACCCATGACCAGATGTTTTCAATTAGTGAGAGATCTGGAGACCATGCAGGCCAGGGCAACAATTGAATATTCTCTGTATCGAGGAAGGTCAGAACTCAACGTGCAACATGAGGTCTTGCATTATCTTGTTGGAAGATGGCATTTTGCAGGCCTCGAAGATAGGGCACAACCACTGGATGTAAGATGTCAGAAATGTACCGATCTGAGTTCAAATTACCATCGATCCGAACTAGAGATGTGCGTGTCTTGTACCCAATGGCTGCCCATATCATCACACCAGGTGCAGGGCCCCAAGCCAATATCAAATGCAAGCAGGTGATGAACGGTCTGCTCGGAGCCTCCAGACACGTATACGGCCATCAGAATGCTGCATGCAGAACCGGGACTTATCTGAAAAGACGTCATTGTGCCACTACTGTATCTAGCTTTGTCGTTGGGCGCACCAGAGTCGCCGTCTCTCTCTGTGCTGCATTGTCAAGGGAAGCCGAAGTAATGGTCGCCGTGCTGACAGTCCACGCTGCTGCAAACAAGCCCATTTCCTGACTAATAGTCCGTGATGTGGTTGTACGGTTTTGCATGGCCGACCTCACAATATGTCTGTCCTCTCGGGCATTAGTCATGGGAGGGCATTGAGATTCTGCATGCTGTTCAGTAAGACCCTCAGCAGCCCATCGATTCCATATTCGCATGACAGTGGTTGGATTTCGACCAGTGCGAGTGGCAATATCACGGAACGATAATCCACACTCTTGAGAGGCAATGATCCTGCCTCTATCGAATTCCACTACTTGCTGGTAAGCATTTCTTCTTCTTATTCGAGGCATAACA